ATCATTATTATTGTATATCATTATTATTATTGGTATAATTATTATCACTGTTATCATTGGTGGTGGTGATGGTGTTACTATTAGTATTATTATCATTATTATTATTATTATTATTAAAATTATCATTCATCATCATCGTCATTACTATTCTATCATTAGCAGTTGTAGTATTTTAATGATTATTATTATCACTATTATTATCATTAATAATAATGATAATGATAATAACGATAATAATAATAATAATAATAATAATGGCATTATTATTAATGTCATTTTTGTTATTGATTGTATCATTATCATTTTTATTAGTTCTGTCATCGTCTTCAGTTACTCTTTTCTCATCAATATTATCAACATCGTTATATTACTATCACTATAAATGTTATAATCATTTATCTGTTATAATCATTATCATTATCATTTTCACTATTATTATTATCGTCCTAACTATTATTACTATTGTCATTATACTTATTGTTGTTATTATTATCATTGTCATTATTGTTATTGCTATTAGTATAATCATTATCAAAATTATTATCATGATTATTATCATTTTCTTTATTATCTTTGTCATTATTATTACTCTCATTATCATTACTATCATTATTATTATTTTTGTATCAAAATGTTACTACTACTATAGTTATAATTATTATCATGCCTATTATTTTAACTATCATCAACATTAATTATCAGCATCAGTATCAGTATTATTATTATCATCATTTATCATTTATCATCATTTTCTAGTTATCTTTATTATTATTACCTTTAGTATCATTACCATTATAATTATTATTATTGTTATTATTATTATTATTATTATCATTATCATTATTATTATTATTATTATTATCATTATTATTATTATTATCATTATCATTATTATTATTATTATTATTATTATTATCATTATTATTATTATTATTATTGTTGCTGTTATTATTATCATTATTATTATCAATATTATTGTTATTATTATTATTATTATTATTATTATTATTATTATTATTATTATTATTATTATTACTATTGTTACTATCATTATCATTATTATTGTTATTACCTCTAATAGTAATGATATTGATATCATTATTAACACTACTATCTTTTTCTTTCAAATCATTGCACTTACTGTCATCACCGTATCCATCATCTTCCAACACTAATTAACAGGACAGTTATATTCATATATATATATATACATATATATATATATCTATATATCTATCTATCTATCTATCTATATATATATATATATATATATATATATATATATATGTATACATATCTATATATATATATATATATATATATATATATATATATATATATATATATATATATATATATATATATGTATATACACACACACACACACACACACACACACACACACACACCACATACACATAAAATTATATATATATATATTCAATATATATATAATATATATATATATATATATATATATATATATATATATATATATATATATATATATATTATATATATATATATATATATATAATATAATATATTATATATATATATATATATATATATATATATCAATATATATATTCATATCTATCATTCCATATATAGATATAGATATATATATGTGTGTGGGGGTGTGTGTGTGTGTGTGTGTGTGTGTGTCTGTGTGTGTGTGTGTGCATATATATATATATATATATATATATATATATATATATATATATATATATATATATATATATATATATATATATATGACCAAACAGGATGCAGTGACCTAAGATGTTAAAAGTAGAAAATTCAAAGCGAAAAACACAGATTGAAATATGAGCAGAAACAAACCGCAATAAAATGGTTAAAGAAATATAGCCGCAGTTTTACCCACTCTTACGCTCCTCTTAGGAAACATGTTTTGCAAAGTGGCTGTCGATGATACCTCATCTATTTATTTATCTGTGTGTTTATTCGTCCTTACATTTTATCTATCTCTTCTCATGGTGTTGAGATCGATCAACAACGATGTTCATTAATCAGCGGATAGTAGTCTTTGGCAAAGAGTTGAGGAACGGGTGGAGATGAAAGGGGGGGAGGGGAGGAGGGATAAAGATGAAGAGGGGGAGAGAGAAAGAGGAGGGAAAAAGAGTTGAGGGGAAAATAAGTTGATGGAAATTCTCGTTCTGGATCAGGCCACACAGCGAGAACATACAGGCAATCATACGCATGCAATATATCTAGTAGTTATACAGAAACACACGCATACAACATATATAAACATGTATGAAGACACACATTATAAATAGACACACGCACATACAAGTATCATCAACGAGCACACACTAACACACATCCATATACACTTACAAACACGCATACCGACAAGCACAAGCACACAGGACACTCACACTCACACGGACACACACAATCAAACAGACACGAACACGCACATGGACACACACAAACACGAACACACACACGCATACGGACACACACAGAT